CCCCAAAACCCCAAAACCCCAAAACCCCAAAACCCCAAAACCCCTTTCAGAGCATGCTTAGTTGAATTTGACTTTTCTTAAACCATTCTTAATCATACTTGCCGATATAACCTCCAAGTGATCCTTCATCCATCTCATTAATCACCAAACTCCATCTCATCACCAGACTCCCTCTCACTCTCCGAAGACTCCTCATCCGACATGAACTCTAAAACCCCATAAAACGCCAACCCCTACCTATATCCTCCACTTCTTCGCCCTCTTCCGACGTATCCCTCTCACTCTCCTCTCCTTGCCCCCTTACCTCAGACTCCTCTACTCCTCCCTTATCCCCTCTCTTCTCTTCCTCTTCCTCCTCTTCCTCAACTTCCTTAATAACTTCGACCTCTTCTTCTGTGTTCTAGAACATAATTTTAGGATGGATCACTGGTGGGTTATGTGAAGGTTTTTAGTGTGTGAGAGGGTAGATTGATGTTAAAAATTCAATATTTTACGAAAAATTTGTTAGGATTTGGAATTAGTGAATGAGAAATTGGTGCATAGAAGGAGTAGAGTACCTTATATCTCTTCTTATGTCTGAATTGATTGGGTTCATGTTCTGTAAATGAGAGAAGATGGTTACCTTGTTTATTATCTTCTTTATCATCATCAGAGTCCATGAGTGGATCTAAATAAGTTAATCAACAAACTTACCGTATTCGGCGTCTTTATTTTATTTCAGTTGGCTTCTTTTTAATTGCTAAAATATATTAGAAAACCAAGTGGACTTGGATCTATCCCGGAGGACTTACCATTCTTTCGAAGCTATAATAGTCAAGAATATGCACTTACCAATCTGATCTGTTTGTCAATCTTCTTCTTCATATCTTGTCCTAACGATGCCAGAGATTGATCTCTAAATTTCTTTATTTCTTCCTCTCGTTTTTCTGGACAAATGCTAGAGGCAAGATTTTTAGCAAAAGCTTGAACTTTGTCACTCAACTCATTTTTCCTCTGCTTATCTTGCTCCTTATCTAGAGCTGTTCTTGGTCTGAATTTTTCAAATATTAAGCAAATATCATCTATGTGAAAATAAGATTACTGAATTTAAGTTTTTATATTTCCCTTACCTTCATCCTTGTTCCTCACTCGTTCATGAAGGGAAGGAATATTATCTTTTTTCATTCTCTTCCTGAGATTTCTGATATGTCTGTTCACAAAGAACGAATGAATCCAAGCTAATAATTTATGAATAGTTGAGAAGACAAGCTTGAATACAGCAAGTAAGGATAGAACTATGCCAGAGAGGAAAATGAATTCATTCCCAAGGTTCCTTGAGATAGTCGTGAGAGTAATACCAACAGCACCGTTTATACTCAGCCAGAAAATAAGGAAATTCGCCCTGAAGTTTTTATATGACTCATCTTTCTTTGCAATAGCTTTTAAATATGCTGGATCGGTGCTTTTAGTTTGCTCTTTGGTTGTAGGTCTTGATCCCCACGACACATCATGAATATTTGAGATAGCAAAGATGGGGAGAATATTAAAATAAGTTGGGCTCAGAATAGTTCCATAAAAGATGCCTTTGACAAAATCTGCAAGCTTTACACGATGTATATTCAGTAGAATGGGGATAATAAACGAGATGCCAACCAGTCCTAGCAAAATAATAGCTGTTCTGTTTTGATCGCCATCTAATGCAAAGAAGATTGAGCAGACAATAGTGACTATAGCAAAAAGGCTCATTACTAAGGATCAAATTCGAAACCCTGCCTCAGCATAGGTAACTTCTACAGTAGTTGAGAGCATCAGACAGAAGAACAAGAATATAAGATAGATGTTTTCAAAGATGTTTGCACTTTCTGTCAAGCTATAACAAGGCTCCGAGTCTAAAACACCTCTCAAGAACACACTGAAGGCAGCATAGAAAAGACCAACTGTTACATATGACAGAATAAGATATCAGACCATATAGATTGCCAAGAGCATGTAAAAGAGATTTCTAAAGAAAGATGTCCATTTTCTACCCCAGATTCTATACATTGATTTCATTACATGTAGAGTAGCAAATAAGGATCCGTTGAACCATCTTCTCCTTTGTTTTATGAGTTCTGTTAGCGAAAGAGGAGGATCTGTCAGACATTTAGCGCCAGGTATATAATGAGTAATAAATGAGGAATGTGCCTTTGCAATTATTTCAAGACTGATAATACGGTCCTCAGCCAAGTATTTGTTTGCACTTACTCATGAAGGTACTCCTTTAATATCGCTGAATTGATCTGTTCAACCTTTGAGATACTGATCAAGAGGCTTTCCTTTGATTGATTCCCAGCGGAAAGTTGAAAATGTTCCTGGTAGAGAATTTACAAATCCAAATACAGACTCAGTTGCCTTGTCCATGTAATGTGTAATCTTATACTCAGCATACTGAGCACGAAGTATAGAACTTTCTATGAAAGATACAGACTCAATTCCATTTTGCTTCTTCTCCATCAGTAAGCATTCAACTTCTCCTCAAGCTCCTCCCACATCAGTGAAGGTTTCCATGTGCATAATGATTTTGGAAATTGAATTCCAAAGAGGAATGGACCCACAGTCAAGGGTTTGCAAATATATGGGATTCATCAGCTTTCAAAACCCTCTCATAAACCATTTACGGCTTTCAAGTTTTCCTTGACTATTTTGTTTTACTATGAAGTGGATAGGTAGACTGAAGTGGCCGTATTTCTGATCCTTTACTCTCCCTTCTTCATTACTACCTACAAGGAAATCATAAATTTCGTATTGATCGATTACAAGTGAATCCCTCTGTGCTTTTGGTAGGCATTGCTCCCATTCTTCAAAGCTCATTACTCTTGAGAAACAATGGGCAATATTATTAGCTCCATAGGCTCTTATTGGGTCATACTTCTTCTTCTCTCCTTTCTTATACAGCTCCTGTTTAAGTTCTTCATCTAAGATTTTTCTTTCCTTACTAACCATATTTTCTGAACTTATAAATAACAGTTTCTGGAATACAGTTTTAGCTTCGCTGAATCCTGAACTAAGTTGATTGGATATATACTTTCCTTCACTTAGCTTTTTCAAGTCATGAATATTAGCCCTTTCATAGCAGAGTAAATGCTCAGGAGTTTTCATCAGGTGTGAGTATCCATCAACAATTATGACAACTTGTACTCTGTTGAGGAAAGTTGGGTCCAAATCAACTATAAAAGTTAGCAAATATCTAGTAGTAAACAAATTAGAAGATCTTTAAATAAAATTCTAGCCATTAATTATTCTTGTGGAAAAATATCTAGAAGCTATCTCTCTTGTTGAGTTCAGCGGATATATCATCCCATTATAATTCTATCCTTAGAAATAGGGTTCTCTTATGGTTGCATGATCAAAGAATCATGGTTTTATTGAGATATAATTTACTTAATTCATAGTAGTTTCTGTACACTCCTGCAAGAGTCTCTACTAGCTGCTTTGGTTCCTCATTGTATACTGTGATGTTAATCAGGAGCTTTGGCCTCCTTTTATGAATTCCATAGCCTAGTAAGCTGCTGGCGGATCTAATTACCATACTGTCCATCACTATCTATAGGAATATCATTTGCATCAGGATTTTCTTCATTCCAGTCGGCATCTGCTGGCAGAATATGTTCTCTCATAATGTACTCTTGATTCGAAGGATCAAATGGGATTGGATTGACCAAAGAAAGAGGTGTGTATGTACATTCCTTCACATAATCATCTAATTCTTCGATCTTCGGAATCTCTGATAAGTCATCCTTGTTCTCATAGTCTTGTTCCTCAAATCTCTTAACTTCAATATCTGGTTCCATAATTGATTACTTTGTAGTTATTAACTAAATTTAGCAATTCTTATTTGTTTATAAGGGGTTTTGGGGTTTTGGGGTTTTGGGGTTTTGGGG